TTTTTACAGGCAATCATAATGTTGACATCAAACAATCTGTCTACAAACCAGGGCGTTCCACATTGGATGCCGCTTCTTATCTGGTGCATTTCATTGAATTAGCATTGCATAAGAAAGGCAACAGCGTACTACTCCCATTGCATGATCGAAACAACGCTTTTGGAGCCTTGACAGAACACTATTGCGCAATAGTCTCTCAGAAAATTTGTCCTCCTTTCCATATTTGTGTAGCGTAATGCGTGGTTACTACATAGATCGCACCCACTTCACGCAGCTATGCGGCCGAAAGTCTTCTGTACTCTCAACCAATTGTGGTGTTTCGCAGGGAGTCATCCTAACCCCCCACTATTCTCCACCTGCGTTAAAAATCTCCACATTCCATCAAAATTCATAGGCGGTACATATGCTGATGACGTCGTCCTACGTTGTATAACCCCAATAATAGGAGATTCATTAAAACTCCAACGTGGGTTAGTCGAACTGGGGATTTGGTCGAGATACAGGTTCTTCTAGCTCAACACTTTTAAGGGTTGTGACCTAGCATTATCTTCTACATCCCAACAGATTGCAGCCTTTTGCACATATTTCCTCACCCATCTTTGTGGATAACCAAAGCATAATTTGTTCCTCTGCGGTAATGCAGCTAGACGTTTTCCCATCGCACAAATTATCTTGGTCTATACGCGTCCTTTAAAAGTTTAAAAACGTTGGAAGGCTCTCATTTACGTTTTCGAGATTAAAGTGTTTTCCATTCACTGTGCATTAATTATAATATTTGTAACTGCATGTATTCTCCTTCCCTGGTTAAACTGTTCACTTATTATTCCCCCAGGCCTGCTTCAAAAAGATTATTTTCTTGTCCGTTTTAGCTGCTCTAGTCTAAGGAAAGCACCGGTAATTGAGTACATTTTCAAAGAACATTTTGATGCACACATCCACCTTTTATCCAGGATTTTAAAGGAACCTACTCACCCTTTACATGGCGCCCCAGCCAGTAGAATATCCACTTGTTCCACACGGTCGAAATTCAACATATTATATTCCCGTACTTCGTGGCATCGAAACTCACTCCTATCTTATCTATCACCCTTACAAATCGACCCAACAGTAATGAAACACCGCTTTCGTAAAAGTATGCTTGAATGAAAATGCAACTTTTCGTTTATTGCTGTCAATTGGTATTTCTTGTGGATGACTTTTATATTATATTCCCAGTGATGGTGTAAAAATGCTGAAAAGGCATTATTACGGGTGGATAAGGCTTAACTTGATTTAACTTGACATAAGTGGAAAACTACTCGACACGATGGACACCATGTCCAAGTCTGCTCAGTAGCGTTCCTAAAGTTTGTTAGTTGCCATAGATCAGGGCAATAATATCTGCATACTCCCAGTCACGAAGTTGATTACCTAGAAGAAGTTCCACATCTTCCAAGTCATGTTCAGCTTCTATAACTTTGTTAGTGGTGAAGTTACAAAGGAAGAATGACAGCGAACAACTCTCTTACATCGCTGGGGAAATTAAAGAGTGGCGAAAGCTCACCATAAGTCCCTCACTGCTCGAGCTATGCGTGTAAAGCGTTTTGATAATGTGTACTTATTTAATGGACACGCTGTTCCGGAGAAAGAAATCCCAAATGGTATATCGATCCACCGAATGGAATGAACATTTGATCTCGAAGAACACTATACTGCTGAATCGCCAATATAGTTGGCAGTGCCCCAACAGTTGAAGCAAAGTAAAGCTGTTATCATGGTACCTTGAATTTCGACAAAATCTGACTGGCTTTTCACAACTGCAGATTTCACAGGTGTCAGTCACGGTACGGAGAATAGAGAGGCAAGTAACTTGGAGGAGATGCAGTTCAGCCTGCGTTTCTGCGAGTCGCTTTACGAAATTGAAACCTAACCGAAATTCGGGACCAACGCAGAGCATTTCCAGCCGGTTGGGTCACTATTCTGCTCCCACGGATTCGCCAACAAATCTTTCAACTCTTCCACAAATGCGTCTCCCGAATTTTAAAAAGGGCAGTAGGAAGCCCATCTGGTGCTGAGGTCTTAGTCAACTTTAGCACTCAGATCTCACATTTGACCTGTGCGCGTGAGCGTGAATCCAAAAGGACAATTCACAAACGAGGGGAATGGCTGAGCTACTACAAAATGAGTACTTACGACAGATTAGGTTACTTATTTAAATGCTAGGCCCAAGGCTCCGAACGTTCCGACCGGTTGTGGTTACGCCGTCTAATATCGTTGCATATAGTCTTTTGTTGTCCGTTTCCATATGAAAAGGAATAACGCCTGGCGGATGGCTAGGGCAGGGGCTGTTTTCATCTGCAAAGCAAAAGGAGACCACCATTCATCACGGTCTCTCTTCAGCCTAGCGCGCAGTTTTACCCTGAGGTCGTCGCGAGTTATGCTGTGTTCGCTCACAGTCCGAATGTGTCGGCGAACATCCAGAAGTGTCAGACACTGCGTAGTGATCCTATGTTCAGGTTAACAATCAGATGTATCACAGGAAGCATACCTGATGCTGCTCAGCTCTGACAACCAAATGACAAGTAACATGAACTATGTCCGCTGAGCGCCAACTCAGTTCGGATGACAAGGCAGTTTTCTTCCTACTTAGAACCGTCAGCTTCTCCAGTTGACAATGGTTTTTGCGCTCACATCGTCGTCGCGGGCGTCAACTAAAACGCACCCACAGATCAGCATACGCCAGCAAATGGTCGGAGCGTTTGTTTGTGCTCCAAATCGAGAGACCGTTTTGAATGCAACCTCTCCAACAGTACTTGACCGCAAGGTGATCAACTTTCGTCTGTGGCTTCTTCAGGACCGTTTGGCTGGGATGTGTCGGAAGTTTGCGCTTAAGAGAAATAAACCATCTTCACACATGTGACACTCAATCACCGTTATCACTGCGCGAGTCCTCGCAGCGCCGGCCGCCCAAAAGGAGCCCATTATTTCTAACTTGAGCGTTCATATCACCTGTCAGTCTTACAGTATCCGTGCTTCCTCTTGACAAATACGTTTGTCCCCCTGGCTATGGAAGTCATCATTCACAAAGCCAGCGCTATAGTTTGTGGGTGCATAGGCTGCGACTGCAAATGGGCACCTATTGACCTGCATGATTTCGAATTTCCAAGAAGCCAGTTATTTTGAAAGCGCACATCCGACTGTGGACTGAGATTCAGTCCATCAGATTAGCTTCAGTCCGGGTGACCAAAGCAGTGCCAATACCGTCATGAAGAGAAGCAAAGCTGCAATGAGAAAGTTTCGATAGTTTTACATGAAGGCGACCGTAAACTAAGCACAAAGTCCGTACTCTTCGGGCAGGTTTCCGACTGACTACGTCTCTCGCGATTGATGCTTCTTGACCTATCTGTCAAAATGTACAAACGTTGAAGTATGCCATTCTTAGCGAGGACTGTGGACTTTAAATAGAAGCGGATGAACTGAGGTCGTTTGCATGTTTGGATATTAAGTTGTCAACAGAAAACTCAAATATTAATACACTACCAAGAAAGGTGCTAATGTTTTGGAACATTTTATTCAATTACATCGATTATCTAAACAACCCAGATTGAATGTATAAAGCACCGTTTCCAAAGCTAAAGTTGAGAAGCCCAATATTATATTAATAGAGCAAAACTACTTTTTTCAAACTACCATCATCTACAACTAAGTAGGTTCTGTGTGCGACACTCATATTCCGTTCTAATGCTACAACAGTTCGCTTCAATGAAACCGTGAAGATGCTGTCGGGTCCTTTTAGCACGGTTATGTCACTAATTGAGTCGCTCCATAATTGTGTGTAAGACTGAACTGGAAGACTAACACATAGGAAAGTGACGTTGGATAAGCCAACATTGAGGGTTTGAAAAGGGAAAGGATCAGAGCGAAGTTGGAATGGGAGAATGAAGATGAAGCAGTGAAAGAGGTGAATCAGAAGACAAGGCGCCTTTGACTATATTCTGTGGTGGCTAGACCATATACAGATGGTTTGAAGTAGGGTTGATTGTAGTACGTGAACGTGATACTGTCAAGTTGCCCAGGCATAGACAGGGCAGCGATTAAGGTTGTTAACCCAGCTCTCCGGTTCAAAAAACTAACCTCAGTTAGACGTTTTGTCTGGCCCCGAACCGTTGACAAATCTGGTACAAGAAGCACCAACTGTAACACATCACTGGATAATTGAGGCATGCAAAGCTCTGCACCACGATGGGGTATAATCTCACGGGCGGGAGGCGCACTTGTGAGGAGTAAAACAGACAAGTTTCAACTACCGTCTATTGTCATAGATGCTGGATGTTAGAAGTCCCCAACAGTAGTACTAATACTACCCAGAGTTACGCATTGGATTTTCTGGTGCCAGCAACTTGGTTGAGTCTATCAAGTGGCGAAAGGGAAACAACCGTAACACAAGAGTACTTTTGGTACTCAAAAGAGCAACTAGAGTCAGTCACACACAGGGTGCAGCACACACTACAGCACTAATCATCCGCAGACAGGTTCATAACAGATAAAATTGCTCCGAAAATCTTCTGATGTTCATGCAGGAAAGTAATCCTGGGGCTCGCATAAACAACTAACAATAAAGATGGATGTTGCTATCTCCAACTTGACTCACTCTACCGGCAACGACTGAAGATAATACTGGCACGTCTCTACGAGGCTTCATAATTAACGCGCCAACATACTACAAGATAGATTGGGTCGTTACTAACTATCCTGAACGAAGGCTAAGAAACATAGCGTAAGTTTTTCCTAGTGGGGTTGTGCGACCAGTTTGGGAACAAGTTACCACTGGAAGTAATATCAAGAGAGAACCAATGTACAATTATACTAGTGCATCTATGAAGCTATGTATCGAGGTCATATGTGATCGAGCATCGGTAATACACTAGTGTACTCTGAAATGCTTTTCTCTTAGTGTACACTACAGCCTACCTGTTAAGCTGATTTTTCAACTCACATTGTGCCCATTCAAAAGTCAAAAGAAAAGCTGCGGAGAAATTTCTTTTCGATAAAGCTCATTATGCAATTACAATTATGAGATGCATAATCATAGGAATACAATCTATTAGTTGCGATGCGAAGATCTGTCATGTATCCTGCGACCAGTGGCAGTCGATGTCAATTCAAGCCAACTACCAAAGACCAAAATGTCTGAAGTTAGTTGACTAGGCTAGGGTCACGATAGGGTTAAACGTTGCACTAAAACACACTGTTCGCGCAGTTCCGGCTTGAGTTGCTCGATCGCAATTGTTTCTGATGTTGTCAGCAGGCGATTTTTAAGATTTTTTGGTATAACTTTGACACAAAATACACACTTTCGAGAGCATCTTTCCTTTGCATGTCATGTCCACTATCCATAATGTGTTCAAGGATGGAGCTGTAAATATTGTTGGTGGCACCACGTTGTAACCAGACGGGACAGTGTTCCGCTATCCTCTTTGACAGACGTCTGGTCGTGTGTCCGAGGTACCTCGCACCATAGGTGAAGGTGAGCTGATATAGAACAGAGGATTCGCACTGGACCGTAAATCTGTCTTTTAGGCGGTGGGTGATAAGCGGAACGGTTTCAGAGTGAAAGCGGACTCTGGCAGCGGGGTACGTTTGGTTTAGCGCGAAGGCCAATTTCCTACTCAAGGGCTCGAAATGTATTTTTCCCTTGAAGTGAACTGAGAGGAAAACGTCCTTTCATCTTACGGTCGTTTTGCCTCAGACTCATGCAAGAGTTGGGAAGGCTTCTTGATGCAATCTTTACATACGAAGGGTGTGTCCTATTGATGTATACCGACCCTAAAATTCATCAATTCAATGTTACAGGACCTCGTCACAAATGAACTTACCTCTCATATCCAGCGAACTCAACTATTAATAGACTGCCAAGGAACGTTCTAATGCGTTCAGATCTTTTATTCAATTATTACGATTTATATAAACTATACAGATTTGATGCATCGTTTCCAAAGCTAAAGTAGCGAAGCCCAATATTATGTTAATAGAGCCAATCAAATTTTCGCAAACTGCCACCATCTACAGCTAAGTAAGTAAGTAAGTAAGTAAGTACGACACTGGTACTGGTTCTACTGCTATCTCACTCCGCTTCAATGAAATCGCGAAAATGCTGTTGGGTTCTTTTAGCACGGTTTTGTCAAAATTTGAGATAACCAAGCTTTTCAAGCAACCATAACTTCTGGGTGTGTGTAAAAGTTAGGTCACGATGATTATTATCGTAATTAATGTGGTGTGGTGCTGTAGAGTGTTAAAAGAATTTTTTTCATTATTTTGCTATCAGTGATTGATTACTTTGGTTTACTCATCGACGAACCTATAGAAACTTCAAATGTAAACGCCTTAGTTTTGCCTAGAAGTTTTTATCATACTATTCGTCGGAGCTAATCTTCAAGTTAGGTAGTCAGCGCTCTTTAGGTAATTTTATTTTGGTGCCGAAATGTCGTCAGTTGGTGCTGTATCAGGAAACCGATACAGATGTTCCGCGATCTTCCACTTCTAAATATGTACTGGTAATATTGGCATATCGTATCAATAAAAGGTATAGCATAGGAATAACGCCCTGAGGTTTCCCTATGCAGAGGGCATGCGTCTAGATTTACGTCACCCATATTTCATCCTAAGTTTACCATATGGCTGAGAGGATGTTCGGCCGAAATATCAATTTAAAGTGTACTCCTTATTACAAGCCACTGACAGAACTTATGAATATGTAAGGACATGTAAGTTAGCAATAACAAATAAGGTAAGGGATAAAAGTAATCACTTACGATTAAAACAGCTGAACATATTAAAAGTAATTTCATCAGGGAGTGTAAATCATGAGGGAACGTGATGTGAAAAATATCTCTGTTCTCTCGCCATTGTCGGATAACTCGGCCTATAGATCGTCCACCAGTGGCTGAGTAAACCTGTCAATTGAAGAATAAATAGGAATTCGTTTTCCATTTGGCAATGCGGAGGAAATGACACTAAAGCAATTATAAATGACTAACCTTGAATGCCAGGTCAAAATAGCAATGGTAAGCAAAGACAGGCCCCTTGATCAATAGATGCGTCTTTCCGTCGGCGTCAGTCAACTTAAAAACGCTATTGCAACAGGCGGCGGCCTGCGTCACGGAGCCAACAATAACACCACATGGAATTTCAACAGTGATTTCCTGTGCCTAAAAGGTTGGAAGTAAGGAGAATTTATCAAAACTATTATTTTCCTCAAGTTTCATTTTATAATTCGTTATAATTATTATTAGCTTTCGTTTTGTTTGTAGTCACAACCGATTTTGTCTATAGGATAACGCTTAGGAATGAGAGCAAATAGATGTAACGACTTATCAAGTATATGGTTGTCTTCAGTTAGTAGTAGTACTGGTTGCGTTTAACTATGGTCATTGTTCTACCCATAGCCAAGGAATCTCTATTTAAACTATATGAGGTCTATCGAAACCTAAGTGTTACTTATTACTTTGCAACTATGTAACTTTTGGAATCCTGCATCCTTATTCAGCCGAAAAAATCAGGCTATGAATAGTCAACCATTTGCTACTCCTTATGTCTTTGTCTACAACTGAATTGCTTCCTTTGATTCTCTTCCAATATTGTGTTTTCCCCATACTTTTAATTTGAGATTGATCCGACACTTCTGTTTTGTACTCATTTTTCTATCGATTAAGCGTGAACCCATGGCAGTTTTTCGTAATCCAGGAGTTTCCATCAAGCGTGACTCATGCTTGTACAGTTGTTTAGCTAACTCACCAATAACAAAAGGGATCATTATGGCATACGTCCAGAGCGAACCTAGAATTTGGAGTATCCATGACTGTCTTCACTTCGAAGTAAGGAAAACGTTCACACCTACAATGCCTAGCAAGAAATCTTGGTTTCAGCAACTGTATACTGTACAAACATGCGGACAACCTCCGGAAAGTGAATCATGGCATTTCTCCGTTCACTTGTATGGCAGAAGAAACACAAGTAACTGACGATGCAACCCATCCTCCACGGCTCAATATGAACCAACATTCGGAAGTACCACGAACTCACAACCCATACCAGCCTCAACCGCTCAGACGCAAACATCCACTCTCGTAACTTCTTGCTTGGAGCATTTATTTAGAAAGCTACCATCGATGCACGCTCGCACTTCATTTCTAGTTCAAAACATTCACCCGAAACCGCTGGAATCGACCAATGCGATCCTAGCCGAACCGTTATTTTAAGTTCTTAACAGGCACTTGGATGAATAAAAGACCCCTACCATGTGGAAGCAGAGTTCCACAATCATAACGTTTAGAAATGATACCTGTGAGGAAACTACACACTACCGCCCAGTGATTCTAATTCCAGTGCTCTCAAAGGTAACGGAAACGACCACTACTGAAGCACAAATGAACTACTTAGAAATATCCAACATCGTAATATGGGAACAAATTGACTTCTGAGAACATCAACCACATACTACCAACTTACTGATGACATATGGCAGTAAGACACAAACAGCACGTGGTAAGGTCGGAACGGACCTCCCCTACATAGACTTTTCAGGACCATTATTCACCTGGTCAACCGCATCTTTCTGCATAAATTGCAAAAATGAGGAACTAGGAAATGTGATTCTGAGTAGATTTGTGACTTCGTTCTTCATCGACTATTACATATGGACATTCGGGGCTCAATATCTGACCCAAAAGAGATGCAATGAGGTGTTCTACATGGATCAATACACAGACAATACCGGTTCATGGTTATCCCTGAGGACATCATGCGTGTCCTCTCAGTGAATATTTCGCATTTCACCAAGGATATCAGGATATGCTAGGCAATTGGTAATCATAATGATCATAAGCTGTTTCAATGACACCTAGGAGGTACACTTAGGTAATCAAATATAAATGTAGTCTCATTTAATTTGTAAAGATGTAAAATGGTTTATGCAGGTTATAGGCCAAATATCGTGTACGCGCTATATGACCAAATCATGCAGGTAATAAACAGGAAGGAGAATTCAGATGATCAACTAAGGATGTCATGTAATACGGTAGAATGCAATCAGAGAGATGACACGGATTTATGTGATGAAGCAAGCAGCTGGAGTGCCGAAAATGAACGGAACTGGTGATTGGACTTTTATGTGTCACCGCGTCTACGCTGCCGAATACTATTAGGCTGTGCCGAAGTGAAGTTGTTTGACCGAAGCAAGGAAATAAGCTTATGATTGCAGAAGCGTCGTTACTTTTGGAACCGGCTCGGTGATACAAATTGAGGCTTCTACAGATTAATGATCACATAATTGTTGCTGAGATTGCCTCGTTGAATAACGTGTTTGTCCTCGACAGATCGAGCTCTGTGACACGGTGTCAGAGAAAAGCAATACAAAGTTACAGAACGGTGTTCGGTTGCAGCTTGGAACGCAAACGGCCGTACATACACCTGCCTCACGGAACATGGACGAATACAATTTGGTTAGTAATTGGTGCAATTGTAAAAGCACGGGGATTTATTTCTACGTACTAGTGTGTCCAAGTTTACAACCGATGGCGTATTACCTGGAGATGTTTCGACACCCAATCGGGGATGAAGCACTCCACGTATTGAAGACGGTGTAGTAAGCAAAAGAACAAGACCTGGCTGATAGAGATGCAATTATCTGAGAAATCTACGCTTTATGTGGGGGCACTTTCGTATTTGATCTGTAGTCAGTAAAATAGCCAAAGCAATTTGCTTCATATGACCAAAACATAACTCAAGATGAATATATAAATAACGATCGGAACAATTTGTAACTGGGTACAGCAAATACATGAATTTTCTTAGGGCGATTAATTGTTGGCCATCTTCGCTTATCTATAGAATCTGCCTGTAGTTGTCCTATTGAAACTGTAAATTCTCGGTGGACTCGATGCAATTAATCGCCTAACCTGCCAAATGTTGCTTCGAATCACAGGGCATATAAAAGGTTCGACAAAAGCAGATTGCCAAGAAATGCTTACATAAGGATGGCAAGATCCAGTAGGTGCAGGACAACGAAGTGGTCGTTTTAGCATCATTATTGTGTGGTTTGCATTAACGCCACGCATTCGAAAAGGTCTAGCGCTGCAACATAGTATTCGGGTACGTATGCTCGAATCTTCCTCTAACCGCAGCAGTGAGCTCCAGGATTCCGACTGAATATTATTTATAATGACGTCATAGCGGTTGACCGTTTGAAACCATCTTTCTGAAGCAGTTAAACGCAAAAGGTAATGTCTAAAATTAGAGTTCAGTGTTGCAAAATGCTTTGTTGTAATTTGAAAAATTTTATGTTTGAAGCAAAGCTAAAAAGCATCACACTTTAGGCAAAAATGATGATGTTTACGGCTTTAGTGAGGAAACAATTCTCTTAAAAGTTTGTTATTTGTGTAGAGCTACGAGAAATAGGAGCGTTCAATATACAGGCCAACTGTATGACGACCCAGGGAGTAGGCGCTCCCCTCCCTCTTTCGATACATTTGAATAATCCCAGAAGCACGATCGTTAACATGATATCTCGACACAGTATGGGACACTGCGACTATCAGCTGTGAATACAGAAATTCTCACACACCTACTGCTTTAGGTTTGGTGATTTCATGCATCTGCACAGAGGGATCAATCACAATAACTGCCTTATTCTGCATCAAAAATAGTCTATCCATCCTATACAACGTGGTTATGATACATGGTTGTTTTACACCGGCCATACTGATTGATTTACATATTCAGGTGCCAAAATTCCATAATTTTGCCCCACTGCGATTTCAAAGAAGATTGTGATAATTTAGCCGATTGTTTTCTTGACTAACGCTAACCAACTTTGGATTTACCTTCCATATTTGCAACAGAATAACCCATTACTGCAGAACCATTAGCCACTGTGCATATAGTTTGCTTCCGGTAAGAAGATATGTCATGTTATCAAAAGACAAGCGGTTTCATTTCTCTGCTTTATTTTGGCGATTGCAAAAAACCGGATATTTGTCGCATTGCACCAGTCCACAAAAGTTTCTGCCTATGAATCCAACGAGAAATAAAAGGCAACCACATGAGTAAACCAAAATTAATAGGCAAACGAACATACTTTTGGTAGTGACACACCTATTAGTATACAAAAACATATAAGTAATTCACTGTCGAACTATACTTGCTCACCATGTGCTGCTATTGTGACGGACAACGTGTATACCAACTCATAAATGACTCCCTTACTTCTAGAGTAAGAAAGACCCAACGATCTCGGTGGTTTAGTTGATATCTGCGGAGTACTGAGTGTGGCTCCCAGCTCCTGTCGCCGCCCCCGGAAGCATTCAACTGAGAGTGACACGTGTTATAGCATGTATTTGTGGCCAAGTTATATTAAATTATGTTGGTATATTCTGAACCAGTTAAGTCGCGGTCTAGATGGACTTGCCCAATTTTAAATGCATCAATTGTTGATTTAATCACGATGGGGCGGTAGAAATGTGTATAAGATGCTTTGTCAGTTCACAATGTCATGACCTATCAAAGCAAGCATAGAATAGACACACAATGGCTAAGTGCGGGTTGCAGATTGAAAGATAACTTGTAGTTAGGATGCAGAAAAATTTAACCCATTATATTTCATTGTCAAATGTGAATGTATCAGCAGTACGCCGACATGTAGTATCACTATTTCGCTGCCGCGCAGCCATCACTAGTCGCAAGGGTCGCAGACTCGAACCCGTGCTCTCAGATTACAAGGCATGCTTTTGATCCTTAAGGTAATGTGTCGGTCAAGGATTCCTTGAGTTCCAGTTAAACAAAGGGTAGACGTAAGTAGAAGTACTAAATTTGGGTGGTAAACGGGTAACATTTTGGACCATGTGGGTTGTCACTACGATATTCTGACCTTAAAATATGTAAGCTTTCCGCACATTCTGGTGTGTCCCTGCAGAATAATTACTGCAAATTTGGTATCTTTGAATACTTTGGTACATGATATTCAAACAATGCTTTGACTAAGCTAATTCAGCATTCAATGTTACAGTAAAATAATGTTCGTATAACCTTAAGGTGGGCTGATGTAAGCAGGTGGCAGATGTCGCATTGCTTATTCTCTTGAATTATTGCATGTTACTATTTACTCGTTTGTTTGTCACTATAACAATCGAGATCCAAACAGCGAGCATCCGTAAAAGAGAAACTACGGAAAAAATGTTTGCAAGTTCCTCAGTGTGTAGTAAACAATGTAGGGACGAAATAAGAAAGACACTTTAAAACTGACTAATGATTTATGATGGACAGGAGAGCGATTTCTAGACAAATCCCATACGCATTGTGAAAACCAAGGTAAACATTCATAGGCCGAAAAATAGCAAATTCAGCCTTAGGGCGACAACACACCAAGCTTTACACATAAAAACACTGCTGTAGGTTTCCTCACCGCTATGTTTTGGAAAGGGTTGGTGAGCACGTAGTATGGTTTGAATTATTTCGTCCTCCGAATGAACGGACTATATCAATTAATGCAGGTGGGAAGACGTGCCGAAAAGGCTTTTTTTGCAAAGTATTAATTTAGGAGACAAAATGAGGTAGGCCGGAAGGGCATTCTAGGTTTTGAAATCTGAAGGGGGATAATGTATTGTTGACAAGCAAGTCGACTGTAATGCGTATCTAGTTGGAGCTGGTAGTTCCTCAGAATGATTTTGTAACTGAGTTTCAGCAGATGGCGACAGAGAGGGATTCGGGTTTTCAGTTTTAAATAAACCATGATAAGTTCTCGCTGACGCCGATATTCGCCGCTGTACAATCCTACCGCTTACAATCGGTGTTGGTATGGAACGTGAAACAAAGACCTGACGAATTTGGTCGCTCTACGTTGTGGAGCCTCAAGCACACCAATGTCGTGTTTACGCCATGGACGCCAGGCTTGGATCGCGCGCTCAACGTCGGGTCTCATGTAGGCCTTCAGCCCTTGCGGAAAATATAGGTGGCTCAAACTTTTCGAGAGCCTTTGTAAGATGCCAAGGTGCTGATTGGCTCTTCAAGATGCCATTTCAGCCTATTTCAAGCATCCCAAATCATTTTACATGATTACCCCAAGGTCACTTTCTTAGGAAGAGCGTTACAAGTCGATACTCAAGTGGACGCTGATGGCGTATGCCCACAACTTTGCTCTCGCCAAGTAGAACTGGAGCTGTTTTTCGGATTCTCACGTATAGGCCCTGTCGAGATCGCTCTACAGTGCTGTGTGCTCGCTAACTCGCTCGATATCATACTGGATCTTGACTTCATATGCAAATAGAACGAAGTGCGATCGGAGTACACAGATAAGGTCGTTGATGAAGGCAAGGAACAAACGTGGTCCCAGTACTAATTTTTGCGGCACACCACACTGGACTTCAATTGGGTCGGAGATGGGGCTGCGGACTCTCACACTCAGCTAGTGTTGAATGATGCTGCTTATCTAACCGAACACGAGGTCGTCTATTCCATAGCTTTGAATGTTATAAAGGATAATGCGGTGGTCCAGGCGGTCGAATGCTTTACAAAAGTACAGCTAGACGACCTCCACTTCTACTCTGGCATCGGCTGATTCCACTCACCTTGCTGCGGCCAGAGGCAAATTTGTAGTGCAGGACCGATTGTGACGGAATCCGTGCTGCTGTGACACTATTATGTCGCTACTCGTAAGTTACCCAATGATCGCTACTGCGGTAATACCTTTCGTTAATTTGGACAACACTGAGAGAAAAGTGATTAGACGGTAAGTTGAGGGCTGGGCGCAACTACCACTCATGTAAATGGGAGTGACGATTCCAAGTTTCCATCTGTCCGGAACTTGCATTTCATCAGGGCTTTGTTGAAAGTACCGGGGTAACCGTTCCATAGGATTCATGCCGGTGTCCTTAATGCTTTTGGGCTTAGTTGGTAGATACCAAGAGAGTTGTGGGCTGTCGGCCGGTGGCCAGGTGGTTTACGCGCCTGGTTTGCAATCATAAGGTCACCGGTTCGAGTCCGCGTGCGAGTAGGCGTCATCGCGGCATACTCAGTCCGCGCGCGACTGGTGGTGGTCCCGTGGTAGCGAAGCGTCGTTACGGCGTACAGCTGGCGGTTTATTTTCCTGTATATGGCTGGGCGTCTTGGCAGTATCTCAGCCCACATACAATCATGACTATTTTCTCAAAACTTATTTACCTCCTACCTCGGCCGTCGCGCAGCTCATCAAGGGTCGCCTTATCTGCTGCCTACAGCAGGACGGATAAGCGAAAACCTCTTACTGCTAGTGCCTCCCTTCATTTTTTCCACCTGTTTCTCTTACTTCCATACCAACCTTATTACTAACATCTTTTCCATAGTTCCCAGCTTAATTGACAGCAGCCCTAATGCTACTGGAGTCGAACCATCTACAGCTACGTTCTCGCACCACCCAATAGACGCCTATCGGCAACAGTCCTCTATGAGGCCACGCTGTCTCTTTACCGTTGAGGCGTTCAACGTTCGCACCATAAGACAAACAGGTTGACACGCTGCACGCACACGCACGTTGGACATGTGTGTTGCGTATCCGAAATTAGGATCACTGACTATTATGGAGTTGTTGAATTGACTGCAACCGGCTTGTCCTCTCGTTATGAGTTGCACGCACCCGGAGACACGAACGCGGCAACCACTGGTCAAGCTGGGGTAGGTATCGTACTCAGCTCCAAGTTTGAGTTAACGTTGGTTGATTGGATTTTGGTGAACAGCCGTTTGTGTGTAGCCCGTTTGACGACATTGACCAACGTTGATTCACGAACTAGTACAAGACGATGTTTGTTTGTGGTTTCCGCTTAAGCTCCCACCGACTGCAGTTCTGATGCTGCCAAGGACACATTCTACCACGAACTGAACATGCTACTACACAGTGCTACCAATTTAGATTTCATCATATTTGCAGGGGATAGTAATGCACTAGTAGATCGCCTGGGCTCTTCAGAAGCTCAGCAAAGTGGTATGAATGGACGTAACTCTGAAAGGACGAACAACAGGGAGCGTAATTTCCAACTTTGTGCGTAGCACCAGCTGTTTATTAGTAGCACAGCTTCCAGATACTATGCGCGCCGAAGTGCTACTTGGTGTCCACCTGTAGCTGGCCAGCGATGGACCCATGTAGATCACGTTACCATAAGTTACAGGTGGCGTGGTGCCATCGTGGATTGTCGCTCGTGCTGGAGTAGTTACATTGACGCTGATCATGCC